CATTAATGAGCTAAGATTAGCAATATGATATTAGAGGAAAAGTTGATGACTTTAACGTAATTTATATTTAGATATCTTATTTTTTAAAAGTCAGTGAAATAAATTAAAATTTATTTAAATAATTTGACTCAAAAATTACTTGAGATTTATAATGACAAAAATGTATGAATTTTTTGTGTGTGGTTTCATGACTAATTTTATTTTTAAAAAAATATTAAACTTAAAATTAATTTTCTTATAAAAAGTAGATTATAAATATAAAATATATTGATTTAAAAAAATTCTTAATTTTTTTTAAAAATTGAATGATAAAATTCAAAGTAGAACAATGTCAACCATTTCATATGAAAAAATTAATTACAGAATTGAATATAGGCAGGAAAGATGAGAGGATATAGCCTCCCTGAATAAAGCCTATCTGAAGAGCCAAACAGACTCATGAAGATAGGTGGGAGAGAGAAAAATCCCACAATATTGCAGGTTTCATACTTTCATTCATCAACACTAATTGAAGCCTCCTTTCACCTTATGCAAAATGCCAAAAACTCATTTTGGTCCTACCGCACGTTTGTCTTATTTTTTTTCTCTCAAACAATATTTTTAAGTAGGTAGTAAACTTTTTACTCTTTAACTAAGGTTTGGATCACCCTAATTTCAGTTGAAGAGATGATCCTAACACACTGAAAGAAAAATAAGGAAGAAGCGTTTGTGAAATCTATGATCCAACCTGTTTGGATTGCATAATAATAGATTATGTGAGTCAAAAATCAAAATAATCAATTTTAACAAAAATTATCCAAACGAAAAATTCATTTGATAATCAATTATTAAGTCAGAATCATATTTTGAAATAAATTTTAAGAGGTTGTTTAAAAATTTAATTTTACTGTTAAATAATATATTTTACTTATTAAATAAAATTTAACAAATTTAATTATAGTAAATATAATTTTATCAATAATTTAATTTTTTAAAAAATATCTTTTATGATAATTTATACAGTTAAAATCAATTTCAACATCCAAATAAATTATATTATAACATAATTATATTAATTAATTATTTTTATAATTAATTATACACAGACCTTTTAAATAAAAGAAGAAATCGATTTGCAAGAGCCTGGCTTTGGTCACAAGAACTCAACGGCAACAGAAAAGTGAATAAGTGTTTGTTGCAAAGGAGAATAGGAAACTCCACACGTGGCAATCGTCAAAATTTCTCTAACTTATGTGGCATCAATGTATGGGAACCATCTAAAAATTTCAACGCTCTTACCCTCTTTTGTTAATCCATGACGACATTATATTAATTTAAAAAATATTAAAATAATATTACGCTTTTAAAATTGTTAAGATACTAATTGTGTGTATTTTAAAAAAAAATATTCAAGATAAATTTGTACTTTAACCTAAAAAATTATATGAAGCTATGAACTATTATAACAAAGGAAAAAACGGGTGGGAAACAAAAATTGAAAGCTTCATGTTGAAGTAAAATATTTATTATTTAAAAAATAAAAGGAAAAAAGAAAAAAGATGAGAGGGGAGAACTAAAAAGAAACAGTAAATCACAAGAAAAATTAATAAAATAGTGCACCTCACGTTGTGCAGATATATTAAATATTAAAACCTCCCATATGCTAAAGTTGATAATTAATGCTTTAAAGGTCGGTCACGACTGTAAATCCTTTTACTTATTTAATTGCCTCAATTTAATCGAATAATTTTCTAATTGAATGAGCGTCTCTTTCCCTTACTGATAAGTAAATTCTAACATTAGGTTTGTATAAGATCATTTATCATTTAAAGAAGCTACAAGCTCAACAAAACAACTACATAAAATTTATCAAACAGAGAAAATATATAAAGGGAAACTAGATAAACAATTTGATGATTGAATTACTGAACATTTTTAACTTTAATACGAGAATTTTTATAAATTAATTGTTTATTAATTAGACCAATTACAAGAAACTTGAAGTATTATACAACGATCATAATGGATTTTTTTTTTGGGAGAATAAAAAATAAATCTGTCCAAAATGTGGAAATTATAATTTGGTCCTACAAAATGTGATAATACTTTTTAAGTCCCAAAAGATTTAATTGTTATCAAAAATTTTATGAAATGACAAAAATACTGCTTAATTTAAAAGAGTAAAAAAAAAGGTAGAGAAAGTTGTGAATGCTTAAAAGGTTAAAGTAGATTTTATCTTATATTTATTAACATAGGGCGCCCGGCACTTCTCAAATGAAAGAAATTTCAAGACATCCAGTGCTTCTAAAAAAGAAGAGTTAAGAGTCAAATTAATATCAAAAAATATGTCACATCAATTGTGAATGAAGAAAAGAAGAAGAAGAAGCTTTATTGCACTTTGCTTGTTACCATTTTTATTGATTTACTAAAGTAGAATCCAGAATTAAAGTTATGAATGAAAAAAAAAAAACTGTTATATTTTGCTTATTGAAGGAAAATGGCGAAATAAAGTTGTGAATGCTTAAACCATTTTAATTATTTATTAAATTAAAGTTTTAAATTTTAAAATTAAAATTGTGAATGAAAAAATTTTTGTTGCATTTTTTAAATTAAAGAGCATTTTTGTTATTTCTTCAAAATTGTTAATGACAGTTAAGTCTCTTGAGATTTAAAATGTATTGTCACATTTTGTAGGATTGGCTTGTCATTTTTCTATTTTAAATGAATTTATTTGCCATCCTCCCCCTTTTTTTTCTTGGTAAATTTAACCAATGATGTTTTTATTTTAAAAATGATACCAATTAACTTTGAAAAAAACACACATAACATAACATTCTAATTTTATTTTTAATGTGTCTTTCAAAAATTAAATTAAATTAATACTAAACCTTGAAATATAAATGATTTCTTGTTTCTCATATAACATAAATATATTTAACTAATTTCTTTTCAAAGAATAAATATTATACCAATAAATCAATTTTGAAGACAACAATTAAACCAAAAAATTGAGTTTGGCCAATAAAGTTATCATAAAAATAAAATAAAATAATATATTAGCTTAGTCAAGAAAACGACTGAGAAAAGAGGAAAACAAACCAAAGCAAGTTAGCAAACCGACCTATGTTTTCTGAAGCTTACTATAATAATAATAATAATAATCATAACAAGATCGATAATCCTTCGTTTCGTACCCTCATGATAATTCGTATGGAGAAATCTAAATCTTCATCGCACGCATTGGACGAAAAGAGCATCGTCCCGGAGAAGGAGAAGGAGAAGAAACCGACGTTGTCGGAATCGGAGATGGAGGCAGCTTGGCGACTCATCCAACTTAGCAACGGAGATTCCTCCAATCATCGTTCCCACACTGGCGACGATGTTGTCGAAGACGACAACAACAGCAGCAGCTTCAGCGTACAGGGGAGACCACAGGAACAACAACAACAGAGCAAGCTCGACGCTACCGATGTATCTTTCAACGTTGAAGTAACGGATGAAGGTGAAAGTTTGGGGGAAATAAGAACAAGTCGAAGAAGAAGGAACAAGAGGTATCGCTTGGTTCTCGATCTGTATAGCGTTACAGAGCCTGTGATTTCATGTTATTAGAGGGTTCGAAGTTTGAATAACAACGTTGTGGAAGATCAACGAGTGTAGAAATCAAACCGAACTTTCTAGAATCAGATGTAAGAAAAGAAATGAGATCCACAAAGAGAGAGAGAGATAGGTTTAGACTTGATTGTCTCTAGTGAGTCTAGTCCCCTCTTTCTTTGGATCTCTCTCTGATGATCACTTTAACAGAAGAATCGCTCAAGAGAATGTTTTTTCTAATTTCATGACTCGTACGTTGTAATGTAAGCTAACTTCAAATGGAGTTTAAGGTTGGACTGTGTTTATCAATTGTATATATTCGTTTACCATTAGCTTCTTGAGTCTCTGTCTGTTCCATGCTAAGAGTTCATGAGTCTGTTTCTAGGATGAATGAAATTTTTAGAGGAGTTTCTCATTGAAGTATATTTATTTATTTTTTTAAATATAATTTTTGGATTACATGAGAAAGAGGATATGATGTTTAGGTTTTGCTTTCCTGGAAATAATTGCTATGAGGATGGGGATTGAAAATGAGAGTGGAATCATAAGATTGGGATATTACAGCTTTGTTTTTTTCTGGTAATGTTAACGTCGAAATACTTTTCGGCATTGAATGTGTGGGTTAGGAAGCTGGCATTATCGTACCCACTATATTACACTTTCACATGCTCCAAGCATGTTCCCTTTTTTAGTAGGGATTTAAATGAAAATCGAACTTTTTAATTCCATGGCATGCGAAATTGAGAATCCAATTATGGTCGGTTCAACTTTCAATCTCATTTTTTTAGTTGGTCATAAATATTATTTTATTGAAGATAATCCTATCTAAAGTAAGGTTGAACATTGGGTTCATTCAAACCTAACTTTCAACCCAACTTTAATTAGATCCAAAACATTTCAAAAACTGGAACTAATTAAAAATAAAAATAAGGGAGAAATAATAATTAGTTTTTTTATAATAAAAAAAAAGCCCGATGAGATTGAGAATTTGAACTATGTGAATAAATAAAATTTCAAAAGAATAACCACCTCAAATCAAAACTGACAATGCTCATAATACTATATATTATATAATTATATAAAGAAATCGATAAAAATAGAAAACAACCAACTAAAATTCAGTAAAAACAAAAAAATAATAATACCAGTTGATTTTTTATTTTTATATAACAATTCTATATATTAAAATAAAAATTAGATTGACCCAAATTCAACTGTGATTGAACTAATAAATTTTGAACTGAATCCAAATTTAAAAACATTTTATTTTTCAACCTACTCAGCTTTCAAATTGTCCGTAAAACGGATTCCAAGACCAAGTATAATAGTAACGTACTGATTATTCATTCCAGAGTACAAGAGACTCAAAAGTCAAACGCATGACAAGTTTTTCCGTAGGCTCAATAAATCCCGTACGAGAAAGTCTTCGGTTCAAGCAATTACTCAATCCATAATTACTAAAGATGAATGATGAGGCTCACTTGTAATGCGAGTAAAGTTTTTAAGTTTATAGATGGAAATCCATGCACAGAATGAACATTGCATCTTGTTCTACAAAAATTCGAAAGGCACCTTAGAGCAGCTTTACACAGCATATCTAGATGCCACTGCTTTGGGGTGGTAGAAGTTAAAAAAGGAAGAGGCATCTATGTCTTCACCAAGTCAACAGATTTTAATGCTCAAGATGGAACACATACTCTGTCAAACGTTGCAATTTGCAAGGATCAAGTGTCTGCTCTGTCACAATAGTTTGCTTCTTCACAGTTAACATTCGAGAAGCAGGGTCCACGGCCCAACCCTGCTGTAGAACGTCTGGCATTACAAAAACAAAAATGACCCCTGAGAAACATCTAGAGAGGAATGGAAAAGGTTCAACGAACAAGGGGTTTGGCATAATTTTAGCCTCATGAATCTTGCAGAAGTAGTCAAAACAAGGATATACCAGTGCAATAGGCAATTTTAACTACAGAATTATATATGATAAGCGTATAGTGTCAGTACTAAAATTATTAGAGCAGAAATGGCAACCAAATTCACCATATTAGTCGTTGATGTCTTTCTTGGGTTTCAAGGTCCTTACAAGTAATTTCAACATAACATTCCAAGTCCATGCAGGAAAAGTTAAATCAAAATCCAAATGTGTCCCGGACACCGAACACGTCAGATTAGGGATTAGGGAATTGATAATGACAGGCAAGTTGCGATTTTTTTTCTTCCTTTTGTGGATGAAATTGGGGTTGGGGGGGTATTATCTTCCTTTTGCCCTTTATCCTTGAGGTGTAATTTATTGAACAATTTGATGCCCTGGACCACCCTCTTCAATTGATAACCCTAGATATTACCCCTTTTCATTTGCACTCACCTAAAGGCTAAAACCTCTCATTCCAGCAAGACTACAAAATTATCTGCGTAAACTCCAAAAACAACGTGCCTCAAATTCAGCCACTGCTCTGTCGACCACCAATTTTACCAAACCATACATATTGATCGTCTTTAAGACAACCCTGAACAAGTATTTTCTCAATTCCAAATTCCAAATATCTTTTCAGCCAGCCAGCATGAATTACTTGTATAATCAATAAGTACTGATTTGGGCCACGGAGAAATGGAAAATATTATTAACAGAGTATCTAACTATAATGATGATTGAGAGAGCTTAAAACTAGCTTTGATTGGCCATTGTAATTTGAATGACACTTAGGGAGCTGCTAAAAATTATGAAATGTATTATCTATGTGAATGTATGGTAGTAAGGAAGACATGAATGGTTACGGTTGTCTATAACACACTCATTGAAAGCGTGTATTCAAGGTCTTCTCTTCAAAGCTTCACATTTAAGTACAAGATTCATGGGACTTTCATTTATATATCTCAGGGTTCTCCATCATTTTGCTCTCAGTCTCTCTCCTCCCTTGGTGATAAATTTCCTTCATATATCCAAAACATGAAAATAGCACTGGTTAAGTAGGGAATTTTTTTTAGCAACATGCTTAATCATTTCAAGCAAAAATAGTCTTTATTGTCTTTTAATAAGGACTATGGAATAGTATTGAATGTGAATCAGTATGATGATATGCGTAAATCATGGCTCCACATGATAATAAAATGGTTGGTTGTGGATGTTTCAAGTGTCTTCCAGTATAAAATTTCATTTGGTTAACCTTACAACGTTGGCTCTGTTCTAAGAAGCAATGAAAATTAGAAAAGTGGGAAATAGCTTTAGAATCAAACAATTTCTAATTCAAACAAAGCAACATAATTACTTACAATTTGTCGCATCATCCTCGTTCATTCCAAGAAATAAAGCTGTATCCTGAATGCTTATGAATGAATAAGCAGAAAGAAGAAGCTGAAACATCTTATTTGTGTAAAGTTCTGCAAAGAGTTTATATCCAGTTAAGTGATATAACCACTTCTACAATAGCAAGCATGCTGGCAAAAAAGACTAATGTACTTTGTTTTAGGTTTTCAGATAATCATGGCATAGTACTTAGATCTTTCAATATCCAATTTTTTCTCCTTTCGGGGTAAAATTTTAATATCCTTTTGTTGCATATGAATAGAGACTTAAAACAAAATGTTCCAACTAAAGAAGTAACACATCCAGGTTAACCTAAATATATCTACAATCTAAACTTCTCTGCTTGACATAGAAAATTTATATTTGCCAAGAAACGATATTCAAATACTCAAGGGTAATCACCCTCCTAAGCAGAATGAGGGCAGAGATAACATTGCTTGGGGGCTCGAGTCAAAGGGTTCCTTTTCTGTTTTTTCTATGCATGAGACCTTGAGACCAACATTTAGCAGTATGCTGGACCAAGTATGGAGTTTAATTTGGAAATGGAAAGGACCAAGACGAGTCCAAACTTCTGTGAGGCTTGCCATGCACAACAAAATTATGACAGCTCAACATCAGAGTCATCTTTTTGGGGTTCCTAGCTGTTCTGATAGATGCAATAATGCCTGAGAAGATGTGTTGCATGTGTAAAGAGACTGTACCATTGCAAAAGAGGTCTGGGCAGCATTCTTGCCAACTGAAGAGGCAGTTCAGTTCTATAATTTGAGCAAGAGAGACTGGTTTATGTGGAATTTGAGGAGGAAGAAGGGTGCCAAGCATTCATCCTAGGACATGCTGTTTGAGGTTGCCATATGGAAGCTTTGGAAGAGTAGAAATGACAGGATCTTTAATGGAGCCACTGCTGGTACAAATTGGCTTATTGTGAAAATGGTCAATGTTACGAGAGCTGTTGAAGGTAGCCTGAGAAATGACATGGTGACTAGAGGCTAGAAACAATGAGCTCTGATGTGATGGGAAGCACCTACTCAAGGGTGGGTGAAACTCAACATCAATGGAGCTTCAAAAGACAAAATGGGGGATGCTGGCTGTGGAGGCATTTTTTGAAGTGCAGTGCAGAAGGCATTTGGCTTGGAGGCTTTGTGTGCAATCTTGGCAAATGCTCAGCGCAGGAAGCAGAATACAGTGTACTATGGTCTTCAAGTAGCAAAGGAGCTTTGTATGGCAAAAATGATCATTAAGAACAACTCTTATGTCATGGTTCAAGCTTGGAAAAAGGCGATAGAAGATAAGGAAGCAGACCAATGGCAGATTTGTCATGCTTTGGATTTTATTGAGGATGACTGGCAGATTGAGGCAAGGCATGTCTTTCGTCAAAGCAATATGTGTGCAGATGTGCTTGCAAAGATGGGTGTCCAGCAACAAAGCAAATGTAGAATCTTGGTCGAGCCTCCTGGGGAAATTTTAAACCAGATGTATTGAGACATAGAGGGTGTTTCCTACCCTCGCTCAATTACTAGTTGAATAAAATGGTTTGGGCTTTTGCCCCATTTCTACCAAAAAAAGTGACAATGTGCCTTGTTTTGAAGATGCTTTCACATAGAATTAATTTCACGATTATGTATTGTTGATGATCAACAAGAGTAACATGCAATAGTTACTGTAAATGCAATGCCAACATTCAGATCTAGTAAGGGTGTATTATAATAAGGGCAAGATTAGCGTACTTAATCTTATATACTTAATATACTTTTATCCAATCAAATCAAGACAAGTGAATTTTAATGTGTTGTTAATATTACTAACAAGAATTTGTTATTGAATAAAAAATTTATAAAAGATTCACATATCTTGATTTAATTGAAAACAAGCACTTTAAGTATATAAGGTTAAGTATATGAGTTTTTCCCTTAACTATAATCTAGGGTCTCAAAATTCATATGCACACTTAAAATTGGCAACAATCAAGCCAAAAACATAAAATAAAGAACATGGACACAAGGAAATATATTCAGCAAGATGCTTTGGCTATTGCAATTAAATTAGATCAGAATATAATTCGATTTGGGAAAAACAAAAAACAAATGTTTTGGCTATATCAAGCTCTAATAGTAGCATTCAGATCTAATGAGACAATAACAAAACAAACCCAATTATCATCAATAAATAATTAGATTATTTAGCACCAGTATATCATGAGGATAGGGGGAAATCTCCACATTTTGTAAACGATACGACAGCAACAGCAGCAACAACAAGAAGCAGCCTAATCCTACATTGTGAGGCCAGCTATATAGATCGCACAACACCATTATACTCTATCAACAACCAACTATTCAATCTATCATTCACCAAGAGATTATGTTTGATAACTTTCTTTTTAAGTGTCCTTCTTGAATTTCCTCTATATCTTTTCATAGGACTCAAGACCATGTGCCTAACTGGACTTGCTAGTGTCTCTATTGACCTTCTTTACACATGCACAAAACATATCAAATGATTTTCTAACTCTTTTTCCTCAATAGATGCTACACTAGCTTTTCCTCATATACAATCATTATGGATATTTCCTTTCTTCTATGTTTGCAGATCCATCTCAACTCATTTTGTAAACAATATAGGTCTATATCTTCTGGTTTTGAAAGTTAAACAACGAAGATGTTACAGAACCACCATAAGGACTTGCAACTTAACAGTAAGAAGCAAATATTAAAGTCATCTGGGTGATACACTGACTAAAGCTTCAATAGATTGGATTGAACGAAGCAATTCGTCACTTCCAAAAATATTAAAATAAAATCAACTTGGTGTTAGCTTGGGTCATTTTTCACTTAAATACCTTCCATTTATAAGCCACAACCCCGTCGCAGTTAACACTTAACAGTAGCTTTAATAATTAATAATATACCACAGGCTTCTTTTAACAATGCTTCCTGTGATATGATACTTCAGCCAAACGTCGTATCTCTGTTAGTGAATTAGGCCTTAGCTCACCTAACAGTTGCTAAATATTAAAAAAGCTATACTGCTTGCCTGCCAATTACCAGGAATGGCGGGGGAAGGATAGTGAGGGAACAGAGTGAAATCTCTATGTTATGATCAGAATAATCTTCAGAGTTCTTTGTTGAATATTGAGACAAAATATAACTTTAACTGCCAATTTCATGCCATAGAAGTGGATTTGATATTTATCAGAGTGATATCTGTAGCAGATCTTCTCACTGCTAGAGACAAACTTTTGCTCTATTTTTCCTTTTTAAAAACTCTTTTCAATTAATAGAAATCAGAAACTTTAAGTCTTTCCAAAGTACAACAAGTTTCAGTGAAGACACAAGTTTTTTCCCAAGAATCCCTCTTAAATAGAAATGGGAATTTTAGAGCTTGCCTGAGTATGCAGCTACAAGGCCTTTAAGTTCCTGACTCCAGTCAAACCCACGAATTGCCTCATGCACTCCCCCATAGTCACGAATCCATAGCTTCTGCCCAATTTTCCAAGCTGCAACCACCTCTGGCTTGTTTTCTTTGATTGAGGAAGGTATTGATTTCCAAAGAAACCGTGCACTGTTACTGAAATATCACCACAGCAAGTATGATATGACAACCAAGGAACAGTAACCACAACCCCCCACCCCCAAAAAACAAAAGCAAAAAATTACAATTAGAAAAATATAATTCAAGACAAGAACTAGCAGGTGCCTGGTATGAATTACTACAATACCAATATATCAAGGAGCATTAACTCCAAAGTTATAACCCTAAAAGACCCAAAGAATGCAGAATGCCATAGTGACTCTCCAAGATTACACCACAAGACCTAAGGCTCCACACTCCAGTAATAAGTTTGGTAGTCGTAAAAGCCAAGGTAGATGAGCAGCAGATTTGCAAAGCATGCCTCTTTCTGCTGCAAGCAAAGCCTCTCAACTTCAAAGCTTGTCGTTTACCCAACAAGCATTCTATTTACTAGAAGATGTTTCTTATAAATAGGCCGAACGTAGAATCATTTAAAAGAATCGTACTGAAGAAAGCGAAATTAAATAGGTGAAAGAACCCAAATGTTGCTTCAACTCAAAATTAATGTACGAAAATCAAAAACCGAAAGGTGCAAGGAGAAGCAACAAGAAGAGAATGAGGTTACATGTCCTCAACATAAATGTGCCCCAGCAGATGAACCGCATAAGGCCATTCGTCCTGATAAGAAACGCCTTCTGCAGCAACCTGCTCAACTCAAAGAAAAAACAAAAGAAGATGAATAGTCCGCATTAGGCTTAAATTAAGCGAAGCAATCGAAATGAGTGGAAAAATTATGAATTACCTGAAGCATGAGATTATCGCAGATATCAGCAATTTTATCGTACGATTGGGAGGCCAAAGCCGCCGATATAGTGGAGGAATACATAGGCACAACTCGGCTAGATTCTCAACTCAGTAAGTTACTAGTCTCGACTGGCTGCGTCGCCGGTGATTTGCTTGGGGCTGCAGGCGGAGGCTGGAAACGTAGGAGTTACAGATGGAGGGTAATTTTGTAATTTTACTCCGAGCAACGGGCGCTTCTTGGCAAATACCAAGCAGATGTCTTATATATGGATAAAATTAAAAACACAAAATTTATAGATTTAAAAAAACACAAAATTTATATATTAAGACATATTTAATGTGAATATAAATAGCGTAACTTATTATCCTCGAGAAAAACTAAAGTGATTTATTATTAATTTTTTTGGTAAAAAATCATTATTAGTTTTAGGTTAAAATTATATATAACCTCTAAACTTAGTTTATGTATTGATAATATTTTTATTTTTTAAATTCAAAGAAAAAGTAAATGAAAAATATAATAATTCTAAATTATTATTAATTTATAGTGTTACTTGTCGGGCTATGATTATTTAAACACAAAATATTTAAGTTTGTATAAATGTAAAAAATATTTTAAGGAAATTATTTTTCATTGAGCTCAGCAATATTTAAATTCACTAATTAGATAGTTATATAAAAAATAAATTTTACTTGTTATAAATTGAGAAAAAAATTTTATAAGATAATTATTTTTATAAATATGGTATGAGATGGCTCACATTTATCATCTTGCATATTTATTTATTTAAAATTTATTTTATAAAAATAATGAAAAAAATAAAATACTCATTAATGGAAAATTATATAGATGAAAGGGGAACAAGGGAAAAGAAAATAGGGCAAATAGCCCAATTATATCTTAAGGCTTTATTTTGGCCAACTTAGCCCTAGCCTTCAAGGGTGATGGGCCAGCCCTTGAGGCGTCGACTTTTTTAACTCAAAAATAAAAAATAAACTTAAAATTTTAAAAAAAGTTATTACATATAATATTAAATTTATAAAAATGAATTTAAGTTGATACACACAATAACGAATTTAAGTCTAATAAAAAAAATGCAAAATAACACCGACAATAATCAGACTTTGCTAATATTATTAACAAAATCTTGATGATTTTCATTATCGTTAACATCAATATAATTCCATCTTATTCTTTGTGGAGCCTCAATAGTGACAAAAATATTAAAATTTTGATATATTCATTTTTCATCCACGTAAAATGAGGTTAGGATTTTAGAATTAGTATAGCATTTAATTTTTTAATATTAGAATTTAAATAATAGTCTAAAAAGGCTCAAAAGGACTGCCTTAGCCCTAAAAAGCTGGCCCTTTTATTTTAAGACTTAAAGGGGTAAGCTTAAGTTATCATTTTGCACTTTGAAATAGCAACTTGACTCTAATTTTTTTAAGCTTAAAAAAACCCACCCAACAGGCTCAACCCTAATTGACGACTCTATTTATATACTTCATCAACCCAAAACTTACAATACAAAAAAAAAACAAAGTATTTTACATATTCATAGAATATGAAACCTTTGTAGGTTTTTCTGTATTAAATTTAGAAAATAGTTTAAGAGATTATGAAATTTATATAAAAAAGAAGTAACAAATTTCTATCATATTTTTCAGGTGCTTTCTTTGATTAGGTAGAATTTTAAATTTCTATCACTTGTTGAAGAGCATACGTTTAGATCCTGAAATTATTTTTGGCAAAGATTAAAAGTAACATGATTTGTGATTATATTGAAACTTTATTGTCATTTCTCTTGCTCAATTGACTTATGAACATTTATCTCTTGTATGATGTGAAACATACATTAGTATCATGCTTTTATAGTGTGTGTATAAAAGCCTAACAAATCCAATGGTGTATTTTAATTTCGAATTTTTTTGTTTAAGAAAAAAAAAACATTTTTTTCTCATTAAAGTACAAACCAAACCAAATTTGTTTAATTTTCACACATATGCTTACTTTTATAGTAAACATTTGATTATATGATTTAATGGCTAGTGGTATGGCTCAAGTATAGGCCATGTATTTTTCTCTGTTCATACCTTTCAAATAATTTTCTTAAAATATAAATTTTACTCCCTATGGTCAAAAAATATAAAGCATTTTTTAAGAAGTTGAATGTTTTAAAATATAAGGCATTTTTAATTTTTCGAGGTGTAATTATTTTTTTTCAAAAATATCCCTATTAATAATGACTTTATATTTATTATAGGGTTTTTAATAACGGTGAATATAAAAAAATATGATTAGTTTAAAAGTAGATAATTACTTTTTTAGGGTAAAATTCAATTAAAATTACTTTATATTATTGAACGGATGGAGTATTTAGGTAACTGGTTGAAGATCTAGGAGATATAAACAGTTTTACAAGAAATTAATGTGTGCTTAAAGACGTGTTAACAAAAATTAATCTATAAAATTCAATTTTCAAAAAATAGTTTTGGATTTTATATTATATTGAGTTGATAAAATGAATCATTTAGGTCAATTTGCTTCAGCTTATTTCATGAAAAAGCACTTATTTTTTGAAAAAAAATTATTTTATGAGTTTTTAATATATTTGTTTAAACTTTTGAAAATAATCAGAATTCAAAAAAAAAAAGCAAATTTTTTATATTTTGAAAAGCTACTTTAAATAGCTTTTGAAAATAATTTAATACGATAGGTAAAAGAGAGTGTTTTGAAGAGACAGGATACGTGAAGAGATCATAAAATTTTTAAATAATATAACAATAAATCATTTTTATAAAACAAAAATCAATGAAGATATTATAAAATTTAAAAATAACTAGCTAATAATCACTTTTTTATTATTGTAACTAACTATAAAATAATGTTTACTTTTTATAAAATCTTTACAAAATCAATCTCTTTTTATAAAATCTCTAAACTATTTAAAAATTATTTATTTTTTAATCTTAAACAAACGAGCCCTTAAAAACATATATCAAAATTAAATTTATAGAAAGTTAATTTGGCTCTACAAATAGCTGGCCAGACACACATGATGTCTTCTTGCCTATGATACTAAAATCTTAAGCATATGACACTACAATATTAAATTACTTTAGCTCTGTCTATCCTCCTATAAATTGTTATGCTTAAAAAAAACAAAGAAATTCATGTTAGAGACACACTCAATCAATAAAGATGAACAACCTCCTAACAAGAATTTAAATATTAATTCACCACACTAATTTTTTTTACCGTTAAACTCAACTCCTAAATCATTTAAAGCTATTAAATTCCAAGTTTTAGCCTTCTATATTGGGATGCTACATTTATTTAATGATTAATTAAAGTCCAATCAGTCTTTATGAGTCCATTTAGGTGTAATTAGTGAATTTTATTTCATATTGTATTTTATTTATTTATTTTATTATATCATATTTGTGTGTGATTCCGAATCTTAAAGTAGATTATCTTAGTACTTTGATTAAAACTTTAAACACACTTCAAAATATTTATATTAGCTCTCTATCACCATTAAGTTAGCATTTGAATTGGTAGATTTAGATTTTAAATCTTGCATTTTAAATCTCACATAGAATTCATATATTCAAAATTGTTTGTTTGGATAATTTACAAAAACATTCAAATGAAGAAGGGAGATAAGTTGATATTAAAACCAAAATGACAAATCAAAAGTAATGAATTTATCTATTTTTTCAATCAACAAGAAATAAAAATATTAGACACAGAGGCATTAATAATAAAAACAAGAACAAATAAGGTGTTTGAAATGGTTGAAATTCCAAATGATTAGAATATTGGAGGAAATTAAAATTACAAAAAAATGTAATAAAATATGAATTTGGATATCAAATCCATTAAATTTTGTTTATTCAAATGATATATTTAAACTAAATTCAAATTCAAATTCCCATTAACCCAAACATGCATTATTTCATTCTAATTATGTTATTCTTCCGAAAATTCGATTATTCAAATAATTTAATTACAACATCGTTAAATATCCCACACTTCCTTAGTCATATCCATTCTTATTTTAAGTTATCCATTACCTTCATGATATTTCACAAACTGCCACCCTATGCAGCTACACCCTGTCCAAAATTATCACATGCATTTTCTTTTTTTTTTTTTTTGTTTAGAGAAACAACTTTTAGTTACAAATTAGTAGGTGAAAGGCTATGTGTTTTTTTTTAAAAAAAAAAATTGCTTCTATCTGCTCGCCTCGGGTTGTGGTGGATTTTGCATTGTTTATTTGCACAATTTATATTTAGTATCATATAAAAAAGAAAATTGGTAAAAAGGACCATGTTGCTAGAATTTAAATAAATAAATCAGTCAAATGAAAATAAAATCTATTTTTCTTAATTAAAAGTTGACAATTTAAATCTTGTGGGGGAAAAGATATGCTAAAAAAATTTCTCTCAATTAAACAATCAAACCTAACCCAAAAATACTAGATACCAAGAAGTTACATGCCGTTATAATTTGATTTCAACATTTTTTATTTTTTGGATAACAAAGAAGGTAGACAAGCTACCTAAGTAATCCCCATATATACAATACAAGCCCCACTGGACCGATCAAGATCAATAATCCTAAGAAGATCATTCAAAGTGCGATAAACACATGCAAACCTGGTAGAAGAAGAAACTGAATTTTCTTCACCAAATCATGGTCATGATGTTCAGGATTCACTTCAACAAGCATAAGCTCCAACGCTTCCGTTGAATCTGACTCAAGAATGATTCTTCTAAAACCAGCGTCCCATGCCAAATTGAGCCCAGTCAAGCATGCACATAACTCTACCAACAAGCCATCACCAGTCTCAATCGACATATCAAACCTTGTAAAAAGAAGGTCCCGCTGTCAACCCTAGTATTAATGATTTCAACATTTTAAAATTTAAAAAGAATGAAAGTAGAGAAAAGCCAAATTGATTTTGAGAAGGAATAGATTATCTATCAACCCTAGTATGATCAATGAAACATGTTTGTCTACACATTAGACTCCAAAAAAAAAAACAGAGAAAGAGTGAGAGGAAGAGTCACGTTTGTCACAAGTATTTGCCAAAAATTTATCATTTTGTATAGTCGTAATCATAAGTATTTTATTTTTTATTTTGAATTTCACAGCCACGGTTTAAAGCATGCAAAGTACCAAAAGATTAGGAGTACACCAATCCTCAATTAAAAAAAAAAAAAAGC